CTAAATGCGCTAAATGTGCTTTTACGCGTAAGCAAAAATAGCCCATTAGCGGTCCGCGAATTGCACGGCTTNTACATTTAGAGTAGCATTTAGAGCTAAATGCGCTAAATGTGCTTTTACGCGTAAGCAAAAATAGCCCATTAGCGGTCCGCGAATTGCACGGCTTTTATTTTCTGGATCGTGACTCCGCCCATTGCACGTGTTGCATCTGATGGAGGTGGAGTTGTGGTGCAATAGTCTCTGGCACACGCAGCAAATTTATGTTTCTGGTCCAAGGGTTAGACCGCCGAAACAACAGCTCTTGGTCATGTAAAACCCGAGCCATTCCGGTACGTAGAACTGGCTGTCGTGTGAATCGCGTTGTGTTGGTAAATCGGCTGGTTCGTAATGGAATTTTCACCAAGTGAGGACGTAGGAGAAAAATTTAAGAAAACCAAACTGGAAGAAAACAAATATTGTCGGCTTGAAGGAGTCATAGCCCGAACACAATGAAAACGACGAGCTACAAACCACAGCTGTCAAGTTATTTTAACACGTACTCTTATGTAGATAATTATTTTGGCGACGACCGGGCTACGCGACGGCTGTGGTTGTGGCCAGATTAGATCTATTTCTATTTTTCTGGCGACAGATAAGGTTCTTCCTCTTCTTTTATGTCAAAGGGCCTGTGCCAAATTNGGTAATAACTTCGGCTGCACGTTATTTTGCAACTGACAACGTAATGTGTCGTCGGAGGTGTTCATTTTGCGCTTTACTAGTAGATGACATTGGCCATGACAATTTTGGTACTAAGGGCCTGTGCCAAATGATAGAAAAGAGAAGATTTTGACGGATCAAAGTAAAAATCTGACATTTCTCGTGGTGAATAAGAACGTCAGAATTTTACCTAGCTCATGGGGCTAGGTAAAATTTTGACAGCTTATAACCATGTATACACATAATATTGCTTGGCGGTAATAAGGACCGAACATGAAAATGAGAGCTGAAACAGCATAAAAACGGTGTACGTTACTTGCAAANTACAAACCACAGCTGTCAAATTATTTTAACACGTACTCTTATGTAGATAATTATTTTGGCGACGACCGGGCTACGCGACGGCTGTGGTTGTGGCCAGATTAGATCTATTTCTATTTTTCTGGCGACAGATAAGGTTCTTCCTCTTCTTTTATGTCAAACTCATACAAATTCATGATGTCGCTGCCGCGTTCAAAGAAATCATGTCGCCATCGACAAAGCGCTTAGATAATAAAGATGACAAATTGGAAGCTGTGGTCGGTAGCTAGTCGTTTTCAATGTGTTCAGAACTTCATGCTTGTATGGTGTATGGCGAATTGAGAAAAGTTGGTTTGACAAGCCGCTGATGCAGTGTATTCCACTCTTTAGTTACTTCGCCAGAGGGCGCTACTCACGATCATGCAACTCTGTATTCAGCCGTTTTGCGATGCCAACTTCATAAAAATCTCTCTACATTCGGCCATTTTGGTCGTAGACACCGTCGTTTGCGTACGTTTTGTGCTTTGGTGGGTAAAATAATCTGCAAAAATTAAGAACATCTAGCATTCTAAAATAATAATATGTTTTTCCACTGGCTTGTTTTTATCCACTAATTTATATGCGATATTTATTTCCTGTGTATTGCAGTTCTTAAATTCAATTCACGAGTCCCTAATTACACAACTTGACTCAAGATGGTTAGGGAGAACAAAGCCGCCTGGAAAGCTCAATACTTCCTAAAAGTTGTCGTAAGTATGCATCCAGTTCTATGTTCTTATTTTCTGCCAAATGATGAGAAATTTTCTACGTCTGAATGTGTATCGTCTGGAAGCCTTGCTTGAAAAAGCTGAACCCAGGCATCCTGATGCACGTTATGTTAGAAAAACTTGTGTCTGATTACATATTTTGCTTATGATCTTTTGTCATATGTGCATCATTTGATTAAGGTATTGAACTTTAATTGCAGGAACTCTTCGACGAATATCCTAAGTGCTTCATTGTCGGTGCTGATAATGTCGGCTCCAAGCAGATGCAAAATATCCGTACCAGCTTGCGTGGTTTGGCTGTTGTGCTCATGGGTAAGAACACTATGATGCGCAAAGCTATCCGCGGTCATTTGGAGAACAACGCTCAATTGGAAAAGTTGTTGCCACACATTAAAGGCAATGTTGGCTTCGTATTCACTAAAGGCGATTTGGCTGAAGTACGTGATAAGTTGCTTGAATCGAAAGTGCGTGCCCCAGCCCGTGCTGGCGCTATTGCCCCATTGCCCGTCGTCATTCCGGCCCAAAACACTGGTCTGGGTCCCGAGAAAACTTCTTTCTTCCAGGCTCTCTCCATTCCGACCAAGATTTCCAAGGGTACAATTGAAATCATTAACGACGTGCCCATTTTGAAACCTGGTGACAAGGTCGGTGCTTCCGAGGCTACTTTGCTAAACATGTTGAACATTTCACCCTTCTCGTACGGTTTGGCCATCACCCAAGTGTATGACTCCGGTTCCATTTTCTCGCCTGAAATCTTGGACATCAAGCCCGAGGATCTCCGCGCGAAATTCCAAGCTGGTGTTGCCAATTTGGCCGCTGTGTCTTTGGAGATTGGTTACCCAACCATTGCTTCCGCGCCACACAGCATTGCCAATGGCTTCAAGAATCTGTTGGCAATTGCTGCTGCAACCGAAGTCGAGTTCAAGGAAGCTGCTACCATCAAGGAGTTCATCAAGGATCCCAGCAAATTTGCTGCCGCCGCTGCTGTGGTTGCTCCTGCTGTTGGTGCTGGCGCTGCTGCCGAAAAGAAGGAAGAAGCTAAGAAGGAGGAATCGGAGTCTGAAGAGGACGACGATATGGGTTTCGGTCTATTCGACTAAAGAAGGCAACAGAAAGCAATTCAACTTTGCCATTACGCTTTTTTCGAGTATGAGCCTTTGGATTTTACGAAGCATTCTGGATATATTGACAGTTGTAAGACGGAATTTTTTAGAATATATTGCGATTTTTTGCGCATTTCTTTGTTAATTGGTAAATTATTGTCGTGGTTTGACACACCCAATGGCAAGTTACCGGCACAGGGGAGTGCGTTTCAAAATCTAAACTATTCATTAGTAAAATCGGACTTTATACAAGGAATAAAGTTGTAATTAGTATTTATATCTATTTTTTAATTTAAATGGATCTTGGCGGAGATTATACCTTGTGTGACAATGATCGTATGAGATTATCAAGTACAGCAGGTTATCGAAGATCGAAAGTGAAATTCGTATTATGACCTATGCAACCGTATCGAAATTTACGTTGAGTATCGAATTTCCTTCGAACAGAATTTTGGTTTCGATGGTGTAGCGAAGTGTTAAAATTGTGAAAAATTTATGATTTTGCATTTGTTTCCTTACTTTTTGGCGGCTAGACACTAATTTTAAACAATTTTTATGAATTTCATACAATTCTAACGTCGTGAATACTAAACACAAGCTCGAAAGGCCGGTTTTACTTGTGAAAGAAAATCCCAATACTCAGTTTGCACGATCTCTGAGAAGAAAATCGTAGAGTTGTTGAAAGTTTTAAAATACTTTAAATATATTTGGCTCACAAACGCCTCTTTTTAATAAATCTGAACGACAAATTTCTTAAATATATTTTGTCAAAATATATTCGAAAGACTACACTTAAACTCTCTTAAACATCCACTACTGCCCAGTTTACTAAGCTCTTCCATNATGGCCGAAAATTTTTAAAATTTTACAAAAACCACGCTCACATCCCATATAACGGTAATTTAGGGAAATACAAAATCTTCGATAAATCAGTAAATATTAAAGCTGATTTATTCAAAATTGATGCTTACAACAATTCTTTACCTATACATACGCTTATGATACAATTTTGAAAAATGGGCGTGGCACCGCCCACTTATGATCACATATATGTTTCTCGGTAACCTTTCTACCAATTTGTACCAAACTCGGTATGGTTATTCTGCTTGCCACATAAAAGCAAAACGTTGAAAATTATTGAATTCGAACTAAAATTACGGCCGCTTTTCATATAACAGTAAATGTCAGAAATGCTTGAAACTTCAATATTTCGAAATTTAAGGACGCTAATTTACTCAAAATGGATACACCCCGGTTTACCATGTAGCGGTAGCTTTCGGAAAGGTGAAAAACATATATTTAATACTTGCGCCGGGTATTTAATGTTCGGCTCAGCCCGAACTAAGACTTTTACTTCTTTTTATTTCGTTTTAATTTGTACAAATTTGTGTAAATTGTATTTGAATAAGCGAATTATTAAAAAACTATTAAGTCCGCATTGGCTAATTGAAAGAAAAGGGGCCCTTGCATTCGACGTTCGCTGGTGATCGAAAAACTCAAAAGGATCTCACAATACGATTAACCGAGCTTTTGAAATATTGTTAAGTGTAAAAGGCTACATTTATTACATACTTAAGTATTTCTTAATATGTATTAATAACAAGTTTTCTTTTCGACTTTTCTTATAGTTTCTCTGTCGTGTTTTATTTTTGTTAACGATTTCAATTATATAAGGCCACTTTATTTTACGTATTTGCATTGGGTTCCAAAAATTGGAACTTCGAAACCTTGATATATGTATCAGCATTGCATTTAATGCAGCTGTTAATAAGTTGCGACTTGAACTAATAGATATGTTTTTGTGCTTAAAAGGTAGCAGGATGAAATAGATAGGCACGTTCAGTTTACATTGGTAAACAAACATAACAAACAAAATTTATAATATAATACAATGTTAACAGGAGGCCTTCAGCAATAATGCTGATGACGAATGACGCAAGTACTAATATTTAGTATGTTATGTCGATTTGGTCTTTGATTGGGTTTCCCCATTCACGAGCTACTATCATGATTTCGTTCATGGTTAGTTGAGGTCCAATCAGTGGGTTCATTTGCGTCATATAACAGCACAGCCAGCTAAAAAAACATAAAAAATCGAATTAAGACTCAAGTCTTCTCCGATTTGTATTCGTTTACTCACAACAACCAACAGGTGGCCGCGACCAACATCAAACAGCATTGAGTGACGCTACCAATGGAAAAAATCAAATAAATTGCAATATTTAGACCTTGAATATTATAACTGCACAACTCACCCCTTACTGGGACCACGAGCAAAAAATGGACAAATTATTCCAATAAATGCCCAGATACAGGTGATGATTATAGGGGGTAGCCAAGCGTTTTCCATTTTGTAACTCGTGTACTTTAATACTGTTAATATGAAGACAGTTTCCACCAATTGAGTCTATTAAAGAGGAAAATTAAAGGAATTGGTTCACTACGCCGTTGGAAAATACAGAAAAGGCAAACGATGGCAGCGGAAAACTTTTCAGCTACACAAATGTCACATGATCAGCCATGGGATTTCATATCCCAGCTGTTGAATTCAGCGCGCTGACTAAATATTCTTACAGAGCAGTGTTGCCACAACAAATTACCAAATTCCTCAAAAACGATTGAAAAATCCTCAAAATCACAAAAATTTCTCAAAATTTTCATATTACTCTTNACGATTGAAAAATCCTCAAAATCACAAAAATTTCTCAAAATTTTCATATTGCTCTTATACCATGTCCCCACCGGGGCTAACCACGCAGTTATGGCTGTTTAGTTGGTTATCCCAATAACCCACTTCATTTAGCGTAGTTTCGTCTTATAAAAATGACAGCACTTAACCATTTCACTGAGATGGTTAAAAGCTAACCAACTCGAAACCACGTCGAAAGTCTGATACAACCCTGTGTTTTCCCGCCATCTGTGGGTCATTAGCGTTAAAATGTAAAGAATTCGTGGTTGGACTCAACTAAGATCAGATTAGATTTACTCCGGTTTTTGCAAAAATTTGAAATCGACTCCTCTACTCCGCTTGACTTCCAATCTATTCC